CATGAGTTGTACTGTACTCACTCGTTCTTTAATGAAGGCAACCAGCCAATTGATGATACATGGTCCAATAGTTATTATTAACAGAAGGAGGATTATAGGTCTGGCTAAGGTGGAGACTAAAGTAGTGAGCCAAGGAGCCCAACTAAACAGTTGCTCGTACCATCCAGGGTCCTTTTGTTCTCCATCCTTGATACGTTTCCTGAGCAGAGCCATAGAATCTCTAATCACCCCAGAGTGGTTAGCATAAAAGCAACATTCTTCTTTTAGGGCTGCACACAAGCCCCCTTGTTGCATAAGAAGGCGGTCAAGACCTCTTCTATTCTAAAGTGACCTCTGCTAGTGAGTTTAGGGATTGTTCTAATTTAGTTACAGACTGTTCCAGACTCCCTGAGGTCTGTGACAATCGCTACCTGGAGGACTCTGTAGTTTTGGTCCTGTAAAATTAAGGCTGAGGTGCCCACTCCGGTCACTCCAGCTATACCTAGACCAATTAAGGAGGAAAACAAAATGGCTGCAATCCCTATGGCTCTCTTAGTTCTGAGGGCAGAAAGGGGTGTGTAGGCTAGGTCCATCTGGGTCTCCCCATAGTAAGTCATCTTGGGGAATAACTGTGCCATGACACAGTAACCTTTCATGTTATTCAGGACGGTCCTGTGAATGCAGGGGGTCAAACCAGTAGAGCAAGCCCACCATCCAGAAGTGGCAGAGTAATAAGTACCATTTGAAACAGAGACTACGTGGTTACATAGCCCTGAGGGTACATGGGCACCAGGGGGCAAGGCACAGGTCCCTGCCCCAGTTACTGCTGTCCCCAGGTGCATTGGTTACTACTAACTCGGGAGTAATTACCTACTACAGCTATGCCCACATAGAAGGGCAGCTGAGCACTCAGACAAAGCCAGCACTCTACAGTTAGGTCCAGCTTGGAGGCATTGAGCACCTCGAAAGTGGAGGTGATCAGTGGCCAAATAGGGTGGTCTGAGGGTGAAGCTGTAGGTGTCCCCACAACTACTGCTGCTCTCTGACTGTTGTACTTTCCCTCAGAGGCGGTGGCTTAGGGCTGGGGTTGGATTCTAGGGGCACTAAAACTGGGTGGGGGTCAACACCTTAGGGTACCAGTGAGGTGGGGGTTTTCTTTCTGAGGATGATAGTGAAGAACCTCCCCAGGCTTGGGTTGAAAGTTCTCAATCCCCAGGTTTTTCCTACCTCCCAGGTGGTGTCTCTTTTTCCTGCATCAGTAAACACCACCTTAACAGGGTTGCAGCCTGTTTTCATAGGACATGTTCTAACTTTCTGCCCGCGATAAATGGCATCAGGGGTGTTGTTACAGACAACCTTGATAAGATCATCTTTAACAGGAGCTGTCCAGTAGATGTCCCCTGTACTCACACAGTCCCAGGATTTACAAAAATAATCACTGGCTCCCCCACATCATTTTCCCCAGTCTCTACCTCTGCTCCCAGGACAGACATAGTAATAAGCATGGCATAGCCCCCCATGGCTCTGTCTGAGGAATAAGCGTTGTAGATCAAAGCCTAGCTCTGGGTGCCAGGTGTTTAGCAGGGCGATCTTGGATGTCTGGACCAGGATGTCTCCAGTAGAGGTGTCTAGGAGCTGCCAGGTGAGATTGTAAGGTTGATGAGGGTTAGCAGTTATACATACATTTATTCCAAACAGCAGAGTAAACTTCAAGAGTGGCACAGCCTTAGCTTGAGGGGATTGTCTGCATTCTTGTGGACTTTCCATGTTGTTGGAGCCAGTGTAGAGGTCGATGGAGGGCGATGGTTGTCTGGGTCTGGGTAGGAACTTGCTAGTCGGACATGAGTGTGATGGATTCAGGTGACAACTCCATCTACCTTTACTGCTGTTGGGGTTGTCAGGAGCACTAAGTACGGTCCTTTTCAGCTAGGTTCCAAGTTCTCTCAGCAGTGTCTGCGGACATAGACCCAATCGCCAGGCTGGTAGTTGTGTGGGGTAGGAGGGGGAGTAGTTTCATAGATAGCTTTCAGCTGGGGCCATACATCCCTATGCGCCCAAGCCACCACTTCTCGAGAATCAAGCAACTGTCGGGTATCAAATTTAGCAATTAGTTTAGTTCTTAGACTTGAGAGGATGGGGGGTTCTTCCAAACATGATTTCATAGGGGGTCAGTCCTAGCAGATAGGGTGAGTTCCTCACCCTATACAGGGTGAAGGGAAGGAGAGCCACCCAGTCCCTGCCAGTCTCCATGGTTAATTTGGTAAGGGTCTCTTTTAGAGTCCTATTTATCCTCTCTACCTGTCCTGAGCTCTGGGGCCTGTACGCACAATGTAATTTCCATCTTGCCCCCAATATCCTAGCTAATTCCTGGGTTACCTGTGATGTAAAGGCTGGCCTGTTGTCAGAGCTCAGAAAGGCTGGGCCACCATACCTGAGTAAGATGTCTTCCAGCAGTTTCTTGGCTACCACCTGAGTGGTCTCATGCTTGGTGGGGAAGGCTTCAGTCCATCCTGAAAAGGTGTCTACCAACACTAGTAGAGATATTTGTAACCATACTTGCCTGGCTTAACTTCTGTAAAGTCCATCTCCCAGTGGGCCCCTGGTCTAGAGCCCCTCATTTGAGCCCCTTGTTCCTTAGGATGGTTTTCAGCATTGGTCAGCTTGCAACGAAGGCATGCAGAGATGACTGCATTAACCAGTGGGCAGAGATTCAAGACTTTTAAGTGAGCAGTTGCAAGCTGACCAATGCTGAAAACCATCCTAAGGAACAAGGGGAGAGATGACTGCATTAACCAGTGGGCAGAGATTCAAGACTTTTAAGTGAGCATTTCTTAAGAGTTCAGCTGTTTTCCTTGTACCCAGGTGAGAGGTTCGGTGGATGTGTGTGAGGAGGTCTTTGGCCAAGTCGTTTGGCAGAATAATTCTACAGTCTCCTGTATGCCACCAAGCCTCGATCTTTTGGGTCATGGGAAGTTTGTGTATCAATTTCATATCCTCTTGGAATAGTGAGGCCAATCAGGTAGGATGGGGGGCCCAGGATCTGGCAGTTGGATTGGCAAAATCTGGAAGGCCTCCAAAGCTACTTCTTTGGCAACCCAGTCTGCTCTCTGATTTCCCCGAGCTATGGGTGCGTTAGCTTTCTGGTGCCCGGGGCAGTGGATAATAGCCAACTTCTTAGGTAGCCATAGAGCCACCAACAAGTCAAGAATTTCTTGTTTATTTTTAATAGCTTTTTCCTCCACTGTGAGCAGCCCCCTTTCCTAGTAGATGGCTCCATGCACATGTGCCATAGCAAAGGCATATCGGCTGTCTGTGTACACATTCAATCATCTGTCCTTTCCAAGCCTAAGGCCTCAGTCAGAGCTATCAGTTCGGCCCTCTGAGCCGAGGTTCCCATAGGCAAAGCCGCCACCCAAACAGTCTCAGTCTTCTCAGTTACCACTGCCGCCCCTGCATACCTCTGCCCATCCTTCATGAAACTGCTACCATCGGTGAACCAAGTAGCTTCTGCACCGGAGAGTGGCTGATCGGTCAGGTTGTTTCTGAGCCCATGTACCTGGCTCAGGATCCCTGCACAATCGTGCAGGGGTGTGTCCAAGTTGGAGTCGGGCAGCAGGGTGGCTGGGTTAAGGGCGGTGCTTGGGAGGAATCAAATTCTCGGAGGGTTAAGAAGTAAGCTCTGATAATGGGTTATTTGGGCATGTCTGCACCGGCTGATCGGTCAGGTTGTTTCTGAGCCCATGTACCTGGCTCAGGATCCCTGCACAATCGTGCAGGGGTGTGTCCAAGTCGGGGTCGGGCAGCAGGGTGGCTGGGTTAAGGGCGGTGCTTGGTGCTTGGGAAATTCTCGGAGGGTTAAGAAGTAAGCTCTGATAATGGGTTATTTGGGCATTGCTCAACCAGTGGTCTGGTGGCTGCTTAAGAACTCCTTCAATAGCATGAGGAGTGGTGATGTGCAGTTCTTGCCCTAATGTCAATTTATCTGCATCCTTGACTAGAAGGGCAGTAGCAGCTATAATCCACAACACGGTGGCCATCCTGCAGCTACTGGATCAAGTTTCTTAGACAAGTATGCCACTGGTCTATTCAAGGGTCCTAACGTTTGAGTCAGGACTCCTTTGGCTATTCCTTTCTTTTCATCTATGTAGAAGTGGAAAGGCTTGGTGACATTGGGAAGCCCCAAAGCCGGGGCTGTCAGGAGGGCTTGCTTAATTTCATCAAAGGCCCTTTCTTTTTCCTCCCGTCCAAATGAAAGTCTCATTCTCTTTTGTAGCCTCATAGAGAGGCTTGGCCCATTTGGGCAAACCCGGGA